CTCTCTCTCTCTCTCTCTCTCTCTCTCTCTCTCTCTCTCTCTCTCGCTATTGGCTGCGAATTAAGTGGGGCGCCCTTCTGCCGCTGCTTCACTGCACGTGAAAGGTTCCTTCTTGCTGTTGCTTCGCAGGCACAGGAGAAAGCAAGGCACTGAGAAGCAAACTTCACACAAACACGCACAAACGCGGGGAACGGAGGCGGAGGGAAGATGCGCCCTTCTCCGCGCGTGCTTGCGGCCTCACTTCCACACGTTGCGGTATTTCGGCCCCACATTCATTCCTCTCCGTGCGCTATTTGTGACGCCGCGGCGGAAGCATCTCAAGGCACGCGTGGCGTTCCACCCCCAAGTGGGTTTCCTCCTCCCACCTCCTCCACCTCCGCGCGGGTCGTAACGCGCCTCGTCGTGGGCCCCCCAGGCAGCGGGTGGCCCACCACCGTGGAAAGACGAAGAGAGGGGCTGAAGATATGGCTGCAGCGGCAGGGCGAGTGGGATGAGGGGCGGTGTGGGGTGAATGTGTCTCACTTGCAAAAGTGCTGGGAAGCCTTTTGCGATCCCACACGGACGCCGACGAAGGACGACATTGCAGGCACGGTCGACTTCCTTGATCAGTTCTGCGAGGTAAAACTCGAGGCGGCGCCCACTGCAACGCCGAGCGCCTCGCATTCCATGCCCCAAGCGAGGGAGCAACCGCAACCTCAGAATTTAGTCTCAGGCAACGCTTCTCATGCAAAAGAGGAATCGGAGAATGCTTTCTTAACTCGCATCCAAACTTCGATGTCTGCACCAGCGGATATTGAGCGACAAGGGATCTTTCAACGCACACTTTTGGATTTTCGTGAGGTGGCCAACAACAACAATTTGCCCTTTTTCTTGTGTTGCGGAACCGCCTTGGGAGCCCACCGTGAAGGGTTCTTCATTCCTCACGACAAAGACATCGATGTGGGCGTTTTCTATGAGGATTTGCAACGCCTCGGTGGAGCTGTGGAAGGCGACGCGCAGTCCGCCGTCATTTCGCTTTTATCACAAGTGGCGCTGGACGGCCATTTTGTGTTGCTTGACGTCTGCGGGACCGTGGAGAAGGGGCTGGAGCTGCGTTTCTTGCATCATGAGACGCGGGTGGCACTTGACCTGAATGTGTACTACCCGCCCCTCGCGGAGGATGCGGAGCTTGTCGCTCAGTGTGGCCCGTTCATATGGACGGCATCGCACTACGAAGCGGCAGCTTCTCGTCGTCACGGCATGTACCGCTACCGGCACGCACCCTTCCGTGAGGCGCTGATTCGGCTGCCTTTCTGCGACCCCGCCGCAGGGTCACGGGCCGAGGGCTTTTTTGTGCCGCCAACGTCCTACCTGCTGGAGTACTTTGGAGTGGGGTGGCGGACGCCGCGTGAGTACACATACACTGAGGCTCTGCAGAATGGGGAGTACAAGAACATCGTTGAGGAATGAACTCCTTCTTGCTAACTGCAAGAAAGACGAACATATATATATATATGCCTTACCGTTTGGCACAAACAAGACGAGTAAAGCGGTAATCAACGATGGGAAATGCTTTGGCCACGTGGGGAACGATTGATGTTTTCAACCGTGCGGCAAATACCGGCCGGGGCGTGGTGTGTGTGTGTGTGTGTGTGTGTGTGTGGCGTGAGAGGCACCAGCCGGGGCAACACGTAAGGAAGAAATATGAAGGTGTTTGACTCTGTGTGGATGAAGTGTCACCTTTGTTCTTTCCTTTTTTTCTCTACACGCGTGGGAGATACACATCCAACAACGATAATAACACTGTTTGCTTGGGATAGGGCTATTAGGGAATCCAAACGCAAGTACGCCAAACCCCCGCAGGAGAGAAAGACGAATACAATAAGAGCAAGAGACCGCAGCTCAACGAAGACCAAGAGACGTCGCAGGGAGGTCACATTAACGTGATGTCAAGCTTTAACCCCGATGCACCTGTGTTTATACCGACGTTCCTTCGTCAGTCCGTGAGCAATGGCATGGGGGCCGAAGAGGGTGGTTGCGCGCCGTCGGCCCCACATCGTGAGCGCCCCCTCGTGTTCCTCATCTTTGGCTGTCGCGGGGCGGGGAAGACGACACAAAGTGAGCGCCTCGCGAAGGAGCACAACCTGCTGCGGATCTCCTCGGGCAACATCTATATTGAGGGGAAGCAGCCTTTTGTCGAGCTACGAAGAATACTATTAGAGGAGTTTGGTGAGGGGAAGGAACGCCGCTTCAATGGCGTTGTGCTCGACCGCTTTGTTGCGAACAGCGAGTTTGACGCCTTCTACATTCAGTCCGCCCTGGATGCCGTGAAACTTCCGGTTCCGTTCGTGTTTGTACTCGCCATTGATCCGGCGTTGGCGGCGGAACGGGCGGGCTTGCGTGGGGATAATAAGGTTGCCCACCAGCATTGGCGCGCGATTGAGCAAAAGGCGCAGGCCGTCACTGCAAACACCGTCTACGCCCCGATTGGGTGCTTAAAGACTATCCGCGTCACGAAGGAGCGCACAGCCGAGGATGTCTTTGCGGAGATCGAATCCACCATTCAAACGCAACTGCCGGCGAATCCTGAAAGCATCAAACTTCGTCCCGCGGCCCGCCGTGAGGCGAAGGGAATGAAGTTGATCGATAATTATGAAACCTACATCGAGCTTGTGGTGGATGTTCATGCGGCCGTGGGAAATGTTTCAGGACGAAAAGACACGGCCCCCTTATCCACCATTGGTGCTTACCTGGATAAGGAGTACTTCTCATTTGGTCACAAAAATCTGCGCTCTTTGTTGTCAACGTTTCACGTTACCCTAAAGGCGGATGGGCAACGATATTTGTTTGTGAAGCACAAACGCTACGGCTACATTGGATTTCCTGCCGCGTTCACGCATTGCTATGATGTAAACAAGCTGTTTGAGGGGGTTGAGCTGAGCTGTGAGGTTTCGCCGGAGGCACAAAAATTCATCACAGATAAGCAGCATGACCGGCCGGTGGAAATACTATTTGACACGGAGCTGGTGATCCATGAGGGTAACCCCGTGTTTTACGTTCTGGACTATTTGTACTTGGGCGGTTTGGAGGGGAAGCAAATGCGGTTTGAATCCCGTCTAAAAGTCCTTCGGGACTTCTTTGGTCGTCTGGCGCCGGTCACGCAGGTCATTGCCTTAAAGGACTATGTTCCCATCAACATGTTGCGAACGCTTGTGCCCAAGTGGGAGGAGGCACACATTCCTATAGATGGTTTGGTGTTTCAGCACGGTGACGTTTACAAGATCGGGCGTGACAAGTTTCTTGTGAAGTGGAAGCCCGTCGAGCACTGCACCGTGGATTTTCGTCTGGCGAATGGGGTGCTGGAAGGGGACCAGTGGAACTTCGAACTCATGGTGACGGACGACATCTCGGGAAACGGTGGGTTTGGCGAGATTCCGTACGAAGGTGCCAGCACCACCATTCCAGCGGCGGTAGTGGAGGAAAATCACCTGTGCAACGGCATAATTGTGGAATTGGCGCTGCTGCGTGGGCAGGGGGCGACGGAGGGAGAAAAATCCCCTGCAGCAACACGGTGGTCCTTTAGGGGCGTGCGCAACGACAAGCCTTCTCCGAATAAGTACAGTATTGTTAAAAAGATTGTGGAGCTGAAGCACTTGAGTCTGGAGGAGCTCGTTGAGTTGACTGAGAGGGTTCCTTTTTACGGATCCACCTGAGAGTTGTGGGGCTACATGGCATACATGCACATCCGCACAGAGTTGCGCAGGCATTGGGATGAACGGGGGCGGAGGGTTCGTCGAATTGGAAGAATAAGGGCGAGGGAGGAAAAGTTATCTGAGGAAAGTATAGACGTATGTATGCAAAAAGGTCAGCTATCTGAAATGGTAAGCAAGCGGTGTTGTTGTTGTTGTTGTTGTTTTTATTCCCCTGTCTTGTTGTTTTCTTACTTTTTTTTTTTTTTCTTTTACTTGGAGATTTGTTGTTGTTGTTTTTTTTTATACCAACTATAGCACGTATGCACTCTGCAGCTGTTTAGCCTTCTGTGTGTGTGTGCGTGTGTGTGTGTGCATGACTCCAGAAGGCTTTCTCCACGACTTTTCATCGCCGCTTTTTTTCTCTCTCCCTCTCTCTCCTTCGCTTCTGTTTTCAATGCCGCGCGCCTCTTCATTCTCGGGGAGTCGCGTGTCCAACAAGCAAAAGATGCATAAACGCGCGTCTATGCATCTTTCGCGCCTTTTCCCACCCTCCCCTCTTTCGCTCTATACATGCGTATATTTATGGTAATATTTATGGACGCCCGCGCGCGTGTCTTGCCGCGTTGGTTTTCCGCGCAGCGAGTTGGACGCCTCCCTCGCACTTACGCCACTTCTCGCGTGCGTTGGCACGTTGGTTTGTGCGCCTGTTTGCGCCCTTATCATCCCTTTGGTTCCGCCCTTCCCTCCCGCCTTTTTTTTTTACCGCAGAAGTGCTCCAAAGCAGGCTAAGTAGATAAAAAACAAAAACAAAAACAAAAAAGAAGGAACCCAGAAGGGCAGCCCCCCACTCTCCCGCCACCGCGACCAGTTTCTCGACGCACAATTAACATAACCGGCAAAGACGCATTCAATTCATGTCGCTAAACCCCAATGCAATACCTTGGAACATGCCGGACCCCGGCATGGACCCCGGCATGGACACGAACGCGAGGATGGGGCCGCAGGACCCCCGCCTCCACGGATACCCGTCCTACTACCATAACCAGCACGCGCACCAAATGCCACCGGTGATGATGCAGCAACAGATGCCTCGGCACATAATGGGAGCCCCATTTTCGAACCATAACCACATGTCACCCATGGCGCATAATGAGCCTCTGCAGTCCTATAATAATCCACGCATGCGGCCACAGCATTATAACGCCAATGTGATGCATCCAATGCAAACCGTTTCAGCCCCTTCCTATAAAAAGTCAAGACCTGTTGTTGTTGTTGTATTTGGTTACCGGCGCGTAGGCAAAACAAGTGTGGCAAAGCGAATATCAGAGGTTCGCAACTACAGATACATTTCGCTCAAATACAGGGAGGAGGGCACTGCTGTTTCCCCGACGGACTATGTTGCGCCTCTGGCAGATCTGCTCGCGCGCAAAAACACGTTTGAGGGGATTGTTATTGACGATATTGTGGTGCGAAACAAGTTTGAACCCTACTACGTCCATTCTCTTCTGCAGAAGCATGGGCTAAAGTTTGATGTGGTGGTCGTTCTCGACAACGATTTGGACAACACAAAGCTGCGAGGCGTTGACTATGACGACCCACTGCAGCGACAACTTCACCCCGAGAGCTACGAGTTCTGTGCGAGTTATCTGCAGGGTGAGCCGACGCTGGTGGTGGAGTGCAGAGAAAAAGCGTTGGATGAGGTAGTTGCCGATGCTCTGAGGCAGTTGGGAGACGTGAACTACGCCAAGGACTCAACCATCTCCCTGAAGCAGGTGGAACTTATGCCCAATTGTCCCATGGAAGTTAATCCCACGCTGGTCGCAGCTATTCTCGAGGCGCAAACTCAGCAGTTAAATTTGGGTGAAACCGCCTCGTTTCCGTTTTCTGAGCCAAACTTTTTGTTAGAGTACGCCGTTTTTGCGCGTCATGCCTACGCCCTTCGCAGCTACCTGATTACGCCTTGGATGCAAGGCGATAAAGTCTCCTTGATTGGGTACCAGGGCACGGTCTACATTCACCTTCCCACCTATAACATTGTTTTCCGCTTTGTCGACGCGCCGTCGACGCTAGCGCAGATGGCTAAGGGAACTGTGGATAGCAATGAGGTCGGGTTTATTTTTGAGGCCACGTTTGCACGCGACAAATTGTACATCTCCGACCTCCTTATGATGGGCGACCAGAAGGGCTCTGATATGCTTGTAAGTGAGCGTGTGGAGCTGTTAAGGCAAAAGCTAACGGACATGGATAGCCGCACAGTGGAGCTGCTTCCCTGGTATCCTGTACAGTCCATGGAGGCGTGTGAGTCGGAGAATCCAGAGGCCGGTGGTGTCCTCTTCGTCAATCCAGATGGTGTGTTGCTTGGCGGGTATGACAGTCGGAATTTCCTCTACCCCCTGCAACGGAAGAAGTCGGTTGAGCTTCGCATCTGGAATGGCAACTTTGTTGGTGACTCGTGGACCTTTGACGCCTTCTGCGAGGAAGTGGGGAGTGAGAACCTTGTCGAGGGTGTTCCTGTGCAGGTGTCCGACACAGAGGTCACGAATCACTGCATCAACGACGGGAACATCTTGGAGTGCGTTCGCCAAGACTACCATGCGGGGCCCAACAAGACACGAAGAGGGGCCAAGCGCTTTGTCTTCCAGGGGCGCTGCCAATGGAAGATCCGACCCACCACCATGTACAAGCAGGAGGTATTTGTGAGCGATGCCAAGTGGCCCTTTGAGCGCATGTCTCAGGCCTGCGCGTCGATAAAGCACGTTCCTGCCACACGGCCAGAGGAACCCACAACCGCAGACGGATAGAATGTGTCTGTGTCTGTGTGAGTGTGTTACCCCCGCCTCGTCTAGCAAAGAGGAAAGCGTCAGCACGAACACGCACACACACACACACACACAAAAGCAAACACAAATCCATGATGGACCTGATCTTTTCTTCTTTTTTTTTGCCCTGTTCCCGTTGTTGTCCGTGTTAATACTGTTTTTTTTTTTTTACTACTCTTGCGCGCTTCTCGCCTCACTGTTTTCCCCCCGCCCTTGTTGGTTTTGAGGCGCGTCGCATCCTTGGATTTTTGGACAGCGGGCCTGTCCTGCAGTGGGATTTTCTCTTCCTCTTTTTTTTGGTTTGCCTCCTCCCACTCTGCCTGCTTGGCTTCCGTGAAGGCTATAAGGCGGAGGATACGGGTGTATATATTCCGTTGCCGAAGATACGCTCTAAGCACCGCACTGCCCATTTTCTGACCCAGACCAAGCAACCCATCAAGGCAGAAGAGCACGGCGGGAGAAGAGGAAGAAAAAAGAAAAAGAAAAAGCAAGTAGGTTCAATGAAGCTAATCTGCCAAGTTCTGTGCCTATTGCTCGTGTTGCTGTGCTCTACGCACTGCGCCGCCGCAAATGAGGGCGAACTGTCCGTGCGAGATTTCTTGTCGAAGGCCCCCGACCTACCAGTGAGGCTGCCGACGGAGGAGGACTTTGAGAGGGCCGAGGTCCTCGCCAAGTGGCTTGCCAAAAATGCCAAGGACAAGGTGGAGGTGATCGAAAAGAATATCACGAAGACCAAGAAAGAAGTGGAGCTTCACGTTGGTTTTGACGGCGTCGCTGGGGACTTCGCGTTGCCTCTGGGCCCTCTGCTGTCAATGGCGTTGCTTGCTTTTGCGCTCGCGGTTTGACCGAAACTGGCGGCCGCCATTGCCTTGCAGATGCGTCTGGAGGGCCATTTTTCTCTCAAATTGGGCTCTTTCCTTTCTCCCCCTTCACCGTTTTTTTTTGTTTTTGTTTTTGTTTTTTTTCCTTTGCCCCTTCTCATTGAATTCGGGCTTATTAATGTGCTGCGTTGCCTTTGCCCCCGCTCTTGGGCGCGTCGAGCCGGTCACGGAAGGAGCGCGAAAACACCCGACGCGACCAACCCCGCAGGACGCCCGGCAAGCACGCAGGCGCCTTTTTTTTTTGTTTTTATTATATTTTCCTTTTTTTTGTTCCGTTTTTGGCAACGCATACGTGCCCATAAGCGCGCCCGCGCGCCCTCGCCTCGCGCCGAATGCGTTGGCCGCCCACGGCGCGGGGCGGGT